CCCTCCCCCACAAGCACCCTCCACCTCCTTCATTCTCTCTTCTCTTCAGTCGTATTTGCCCCCTCCGCTGCCCTCTCTCTGTCGTCTCAGTCTTTTTGTACATAAAATTAAAACTACAACAAAAATATAGGAAAACACTTTTTATTATACTACGTTAATTTGCACACGAAGCTAACATCTTACTCGAGTTGGTTCTTATAGTTCTGCCATCTTTATTAAGAATTTCAGTGTAAGTTCGATCGACCCTCTAAACAGGAGGATGAGTTGCATGGTATTATCACCACACCGTAGTCCACAACTGGTGTCACTCTTACCCATTAATGAAAACAATATGTTGAGAGAACATGTGTAATAATTATGGAATAATGTAATATGCACTCTATAATTTAGTCCTCTTAAGTGCCCATAATAATGTAATATGTAACGTAATCAATATTGTGGTAAATCTTCGAAGATATACTTACTATGATATATTTATCATTAGTTTAAGAATATGTGTTTTGTGGCATTTTATACACTATTTTTGTGTGAGAACCAATAAATTCAAGTGTTTTGGGTGTACAAGATTTGTGTTTTTATTTAAAACCTTCCCGAGTCTAATCTGCAGAAATGTTTCTTAGGAATAGAAACGAAGACGTCGCCACAGATTTTTATTACAAGTGGATCTGTCTCATAACTGTTTTCGTTACAACGTAAAATAGAAAAAGTAATGGCCAGATGACACTTAATGACCTCAGCACGCATTTCTTCTACGAGAGCTTTTGCTCCCCGAGGCACCAATAATATATTCGAAAATGAAATAAAATATTTTTGAATCATATAATGTTTCTACAAAATATCTATCTTACCAAGAAAACATTCTTTGAGTGAGGACAAAATCAGGTTTGTAATATTTGTAGATGGTACATCTTAAATGAGCTGCATTTAGACATGTTCTAAACATTAGCTGCGATCTTCTCAGTTGATACCATTATCAACTCTCAACTAGACCGAGCGCAATGAAATATAACCGGAAAAGGTAACCTAAGCATTTTATATCTCTAATTCATAAAAGGTGTCATGAAACGTTGGTACACATACACATATTTCGTCTACAAAATGTAAACTATAAAAGTGCACCATGAGCTGACACTCAAATATCTCAGCAACGACAACCCTTTTATTATTAAAATATTGAATAACAGGGAAGTTTCTGCGTTATTCCGAACACAATGAAGAATGCAGAAGCGCTTGAGCAATGTTCTCGCCTGTTTCCAGCGTTCGCATAGTTCCCGCAATTCCCGCGTGGGGCGCCGCGTGTCCGCGCGTGGGCGGCGGCTATTCGGAGTGCCGTCTCCTGCTGCCGCCGCCGCCGCCGCACGCTCATAAAAGGCGCATAACGCACGGGCGCGGCGTCGCGTTTCAAGGCGAACACGCAAATAACTCGCCCCGCGATCCACAACGCGGCGCAGTGCGAGGAGACGGCCGAGAGGGAGACGAAACTTTAGCGTAGCGTTACATGACTTGTGATGGCAAATGTATGTAAAACATCGATATTTCGATACATCAACAAAAGGCTTTTGATGTCGATGAGAAAATTTAAAATATTGATGTTTTAAATATGATGAAACATATCGAAGTGAAATGTCTTGTTTCTAATGTGATACATAAAACGTCACTATTAGTTTAATGTATATTCTGCCTTAAAAGTGTCATCTTAATTTTCAAATCAATGTTCTATGTAGTCAAGGTTCAAAACGCAGTTCAACGATATTACCACGAAAAAAATAATCAAAAAAGGTAATGACACTAGAGAAATGTTGCAAATAGCAAACTGTTTCGTGCCGTCTGAGGATCCGCAACAGTGACATGGTGAGTTTGTTACAAGCGACAAACATTAAGTCGCCGGCCGAGATCGCTAAGACAGTAATGCCGTAGCGATCTCGGACCGAAGGATCGCGGGTTCGAGTCCCGCCTGGGGCATGGTTGTACTGTGTTCGTCCTCCCCCCCCCCTTCATCATCATATCGTGTCATCCTCACAGTTCCCATACCGTTACAAGCAATAGTGGTCGCTAATGACCTAGTAGTTGATGCCACCTTAAACAAAACAAAAAAAAACAACATTAAGTCACGAGGTTAATTTCGAAGAACACTCATTTCTTAGAAAAACAATCGGAGATGCAGTTAATGTACATTTCACAAAATAAAAAAAGTACTGGTACTGCAACAAAAATATGACTTCCACTCAGTTTACGACAAACTCACGGGCCCGACTCTTAACATAACTCTACGTTTGCACCGTGTGTGGGCACGCATAGGGGCTGGGCGGATGCACATTTCACTTCGACTGATACTCCCGATGACAGGTCTTAGCGGCTTCTCGAGGTATTTTGTAGGAATGACGCGAGCGGCTACGCTGATGCGGGGCTATGCCAACGTAAGCAAATCCTCAGAAGCCCATTGCTCAGAGCACGTTACATGATGTACCATAGCAAGTGGCGAGAAAACTGTCAGAGCCATTTACACTCTGACGGAGCTGTACATTTTAGGCTTCTTTCACTGATGAGGGGAGAATATGCAACAAAAATATGCAAATATGGAAAAACATGCAATTACGGTGATATATGCGAAATAAAAATTACTTAAATTGATTCTAAATGCCTCAAAATGTACACAATGTGTTGAAACGGGGTGTTTTAGTTAACAGAAAAAGTATGCAAATGCATATAAATCACAGCCCTAGTGATAAAACATTTTATTTTCATAAATATTTTCAATCTCTGTTTTTTCCAACTTAAGCTGGCAATTACGGATTTTTAAAATTTAGTACGCTTTAGATACAGCTGAGGTGTTTAGCGAACTCTACTATTGTATAGGCAAATAAAAATATTTGAAAAATATTAACATATAATAATTAATTATAATTAATTTGGGAAAATAATTTAATGTGTCAAACTCAGTAAATTAAGAAATTTGTCATTCGGCGTTTGCGGAAAAGATCCTCTAGGTGTGGCCTGTAAACAATTCATTATCAATGTGCATTTATTAACAGAAATCATTTAAGTCATAATTTATTTCTCAGTGCAGTATATATTATTTATTTAATAGTAAAATATATCATATAAGAGTTAAATGAACAAAGGACCTTAACATGAAGTAGACCCTCGTGTTAGGCTACGCGCGCCTACGACACCGCATCATGAAGTAAATATACAATAAACTGAAATGACATTGTTTAACGATCTAGCAATTTCCCGTGTCTTCGAAGAATGCATTTCAATCTTTTTATTTATAATTTTTAATTATACACACTCATCTGTTGCGGCAACAACAAAAGCGCCATGCATATTTTGTGTGATTTTCAGGCACACGTTTCAAAAACCTGTTTAACGTAATACGCATTTAGAGTTAAAACAACGCAAAAACAAAAACCCTTATACTTTTCGTCTCCATTTCAAAAATATCTATCTAGTGTTTTAACCGAAATTTTAATCACTGCACATGAGTATGAAACTACGCCTCAATTGCGGGTAGTGTATTTTCGGCGATTTCCGATTATTAATTTCATTCGATAAAATTTTCAACATATAACACAATAATTTTTGTTCATAATTGTTTTGTTCATGTTATACTTTCGCAATTACAATAATAATATGTTTTGAACTTAATCGTTTTATAAAACACACGGGAAAATAAAGTATCTTCATTCTTTTCTTCACTAATAGAAGGCATAAGCTCCTCGTTTTAAAAGTTTGAAGCAATTGGGAAACCTTATATATGGGAATATATATATATATATATATATATATATATATATATATATATATATATATATATATATATATATATATATAGTGAACTTCTTTTATTTGTGAAAACACATTTAGCTTCTCTTTTTAATTGGAGCCACTTGTGCACGTAAAGACAATGTTACACTACACGAACCAAGTGACTAAAATTACATTGAAGTTAGTTACACTATAGTGAACGAGCGTGAAAGAACAAATTGAATGTAGTATTAAAATATCATAGTAGACATATATAAGGTGATTGTAGATATAATAATCTCTTTTGAGGATATGAGAAATCCATTTTGTCTCTATTTAAATTGATATTCATTCTATTAAAAATATTGTTCAAGATAACTGCAGATCTGTTGAACTGCAATATCGACAGAAAACTTTCAATAGCTCTTGTACCAGCTATTCTACATATCCATAAATATAGATATCTCTCTAATATAGTACATAGCTGACGATTTTTAAATAGCATTTCTTTGTTTCTTCCCCAATCTAGTGTTCCTTAGTGCCAAGATTTTTCATAAAAATTGAAAGAAAATATAACGAACATAATAAACGAGTATATGATATGAGGTTTAATCTATTAAAATCATTTTTTACTAGTTAAGCACTGCAAAAAAGTGAATATGCTTAATATTCATCACCTACTTGTTATAAATTTCAAGAACCATTCGATGCTTCTTGACACTTTTACATAATACGGTCAATTTCTTATTCTACGCGCCTCGTTAAATCGACTGCAAGAGCTGTCAGCTTATAGACAATGCACTGACGTATTATTCACTATGACACGCTTAAACTACAACTTCCCTTATTTTCGAGGTGTTACTGCTACGATGCACCGACTTTTGTACTACGACAACAGAATAAACAAACTTTGGAGGCTTGCAACGCCTCTGCCGATCATTAAAGAAAATAATAGACATTATCAATTAATGTATGATTTGTATGAATCCGGGACCTTCCTAAATTGCAATGAATATTCAGAATACGATATAATAAAATGTTAATAACCGTAGTGATTTGTATATTCCAATTTTATGCCTTTATTATTGATTCGTTATGGAGATGATAATTGTATACTCTTTGTATTCACAAACGCTCACAGTGCCAGTGATTGCAGAGAAAGCAAATCTCTC